GCGAGATCTTGGGGTGCTTCGGGTCCGATCCGCTTTGGACACGCAGGGGCCCGGGGTTCAGAGGGGACGCGGGGAGCGAGTACTTTGGAGAGAGCAGGGTTGGAGGGGCAGGATTCCCAGGGGGGCCCAGAAGGTCCGGGGCTTGGGGACCCCAGTGTGCGCTGCGCGGAGGGGGTCTCAGAGACACCCCGCTGTCGTCCGCAGCCCGGGAGTCCGCGCGAGGCCCCCGGCTGAGGAGGTGCTTCACAGTCCGCGTCCCCACTCCCTGCCCAGCCCGGGTCCCGACGTGGGGTGTCTGTCCCCCAGCAGCCGGCAGCGGCGTTGATTTCTTGCGTGTTCGGGCCCCTCGAGATGTCTCCGCTTCCCTCCTGTAAGATGCGTTTCTGAAAGCTGAAACGAAACAGCTTTCCGGGATAGGTGAAAGAAGATTCTCTGCTTGGGGGGGCGAAAGGAGGGAGCGTGTGCTCCTCGGTATTCGGGACGGCGGCGTCTTGAGGGTCCCCCGAGCCTGGGACGTCGGCCTCGTTTAGGGTTTCCAGTAAAGACCTTCTCTCCTCGAGTGATGGAGTCCGGAGGCGAGGCCCGGCCAGCCTGGGCCTCGGTCCGTCCACCAGTGCTTTGTCCTCATCTGATTCTGACAAGTGGGAAAACAACGCAGAAACGACAGGGCCAATTTTCACTCCAAACCCTAAACAAAGTTTTTTTCTGGCACCGGGGATCCAACTGGGGTCCTTGCGCTTGCGAAGCAGGCGGTGGCGCCACTGAGCTACATAAAAAAGTTCTTTAGAGGCCAGAGTGGGACGCTTTCCTCTTGTTTGTCCTCGCTCGGGAAGGTTTTGGCCCGCGGCCTTTGGAGAGGGTGTGCGGCGGCCGGCGGCCGTAGGGTTTCTCTTCCCGCACCTGCGGAAAGGCTCTAGCTGCCTGCAGTCCCAGGCACCTGGGTCCCCAGGGCTGGGAGGGTCCCTGGTGGGGACACACGGCCCGGCCTAGGGCACCCCCAGTGTGGGGAGTGAAGTCTGTGCACAAAAATAAAAACTACTTTTGGGTGCCCAAAGGCGCGCGGGACCCTTGCCTGGTGGGAGACTCGCGCCCCGCGAGGGGAGCGTTCGGTGGCTGTGGACGTCTGCTTGGCTGTGGACGTCTGCTTCTGCCAGAGCAAACCTCGCTGAAGTCTGAAAGCCGAGGCGCCCTGGAGTGGTAGCAGCATCGCGGCCTCTGCTGTCAGAATTCAGAGCGGACGTGCATCGCGCACGCTCCGCGATGGGCGCAGTTTTTCCGCAGCTCGCGGAGGACGCCTGCCCGCCTTCGGCTGTGTCGGGGTTGGTTTCCCTCAACCCCAGGGCCGTGTTGCTTACCTTAGACGTTTGCGTTTCTCGTGGGGAAGCCGCTACTCTATCCAGACCCCGCTGAGAGCTTCCCTTTTGCAAGTCTCCTGTTTGACGGGAGTCCCGCGGACGCCCGTTTCCACCGCGAAGACCTCCGACCGGACGGGCTCCCCGCCCACCTTTCTGGACCCCGGAAGGGTCCAGGAGGAGGAGATGAACCCTCGTTTCTGCGCTGCCTTCTGGCCAGAAACAGCGACAGTGAAGAAATGAACGAATTCCCGCACCTCTGCACGAGATGCCTTCCTTCCCGGAGGAGGGTGGAATCCAACGACTTCAGTGCAAACTAAGTTCAGCCGATTAGGAAGATGGAAGTACAGCTCGGCGGAAAAAAGAAAACCATGCGGAAGGGGACCCTGATCGGGAAGAATTTCTGTGCTGCTCGCCGCGTGGAATCCGGCCTGGCTTGGTCAGCACCTCGAACTGACCACACTGCTCTGAGACTCTGGAGGTCCGGCGAGCTGGACAACTCAGACCTTACAGACTTCCCGTCCTGACCCGCAGCTGCAGGCTTGAGGTCCAGCCGTGGGCAGCGCCGGCTCCTCCGCGGACCTCTCTCTCGGGCACCGTGTGCCCTCACACGCGCGTCCCTCTGTGTGTGTCTGTTTCCTCCTGTGCTCTTTTTATGTTTATTTATGTATAAATCGAACTCAGGACCTTGAGCTTACTAGGCAGGCAGTGGCACCACTGAGCTAAATCTCCGGCTCCCGTGCTCTTTTTAGAAAGACCGAGTCCTGTGGGGTTGGGGACGCCCCGGGGACTCAATTTGCGTTCATGGCTCTTTAAGACCCCGTCTCCACATACAGCCACGGCCTGAGGTCCTGATGTCAGAGAGTCAATCAACAAACATCCAGTCTCCACACGGCCACATCCTGAGGTCCTGGGAGTCGAGGTTGTGACTTAGTATTTATGGGTGGAGGGACATTCACAGTGTGCTTCTGTTGGAGTCCTAGGAAGAACCAGCCAAGCAGTGCAAGAAGCTATCAGTCACCGATTTTTGTGTTAGTCCTGTCTCTTTCACTGTGACAAAATGCCCTTGAGGACCACTTAGAGGACAAGGGTTTGGATTTGCCTGAGGTCTCAGGGGCTCAGTCCGTGGTCGGCTGCCCCAGGGGTCTCGGGGGGCTCAGTCTGTGGTCCCTGCTCCAAGGCAGGAGCCAGGGCCCGGTGCACCCTGTAAGCCCTGTCCCCGGGGACCCGTTCATCCCAGGAATCCCCACATCCAGATAATCCCAGGGAGCTGGGAACTCATCCCTAGATCAATCCTCGATGGCTTGAGAGCCTCGTGATCCCAACACCTCCCCAGTACCGCAGCTCTGCGCGTGGCGGGGTGGGGACCCCCATGTGAGCCATTTCTCTGTGCTCCCCACACTTGGCTGTGGGTGGTGCCGCGTGACCCCCGGTCCTCCGGTCTCCTCGCGTGTCCGGAACTTCCCGGGGCTCTGCGGACGCCTGCGATGAGAGAGACAGGTTCTCGGCGTTGCTGTGCTCATCCGCGTTCTCCGGGTCTCTTCTCCCACAGCCGCGCCTCCTGCAGCCCAGCGTCCTCGTCTCTTCCCGTCCTGTCCCGAGGGCTTCGGGCTTCGCTCCCCGAGCGCGCTGCGTCCCAGCGCCGCTCCTGCCTCTTTCTTCGCCGGCTTCCTTTCTTGGCGATTGTTAGTCGAGCGCTTCGTGGGAGGTGGGCGAGAGTAGTTACCCTGAGAGAGTTTTGTGGGCTTAGGGCACCGCGGTCACCTCGGATGCCCGGGGTGCGGAGGCCCCTGCTCTTTTCGTCTTTGGAAGGAAGGCGCCCAGAGCCGGGAGGGGCCCGGGTCACGGGCAGCGGGTGCGGACCTCGTGGGGCGGACGGGCGTTGTGTGGCGGTTTACGTGATGTTTGTAGCACGTCCGGTTCAGAGATGGATAAGTGACTACAGATGTGGATAAGTGATGTGGATAAGAAGGGTAGGCGCCAGACAGACAGACAGACAATGCACAGAGACAGATGCGTGGATAACAGGTGACGCAGTATACGGTACGAGGTAGAGGGTTACCGTAGATGGGGCGGATAAGCCGGCCGGTGGACGGATGATGCGGTAGACAGGTCGGGTTGGAGACGGAGAGGCAGAAGGTAGAGTGGATAGGGGTCGGATGGGTAAATGAATGGAAAGATGGATGGACAGACTACCAGATGGACAGACGGACAGACCGGCAGTAGATAGAAGGATGCATGCGTGGACGGGCCGACAGCTTAGATGGTGGGTGGGTGGATGCACAGCTGTGGGTGGATGATCCGCAGACCCACAGAGAGGACAGAACTGGCTTCTGCAGCCTGCTCTCTGCAGCCTTCTCCACCTCCGTGCTCTCGCTACCAGTTACCCGCGGGGGGTTTGCACGTCTGCGCGGACCCCGCCAGCCTGCGGGCCCTGTGGGTTTTCCGGGTGTTGTTTTCCTTCCTGCCTTCCCCTCCCGTCACTACCCTGGCAGCTACGGCGAGCTCGACGGTGGAGCCGCTGTAATTCGTCACAGTTTTGTGCACACAGACTTCACAGGAAAACGCAGTGCTCGCCCGCAGACCGGATCCCTGCCGCACTCAGCCAGTAGGACACCCAGGACATTTTGGGCAATGAAACTGTATCTCCTAGGGTGTGGATCTAGACGGCCCCATTGTTTCCTGCGTCCAGAGTGGGGGCTTCGGATGGAGATTGTGCGTGGGGTGCTGTGCTCAGCAGTGGATCCGTCAGGGATGAGGTCTGGGCTGCATGTGCAGTAGGAGGGGGGGCCTCGCGGGAGGTGGTCACCGGGGTGGGACCTGGACGGTGACTTCCCGTGCCCACGTCTTCCCTTCCCTCTCCGCATCCTGGATACCATGAAGTGAGCGTCTGTCCTCCCTGATGCCCATCTGCCCTGATGGTCCTCCTTGCAGCAGGCCACTACGGACTGAACCCCCCAAACCACTGGGCCATCCGACCACGGACTGAACTCCCCGAGACCACTGGGTCAGCTGACCACGGACTGAACCCTCTGAGACCATTAGCCCAATACAACCTCCCTTCCTTTAAGTTCCGATGTGAGGTATTTTGTCCCAGCAATAGAAAGTAACTATATTTTCTTTCTTTTTCCCCATAATTTCATGTATTTTAGAGTTGATATCTTTTTAGCAACTCTCTGTGTGGAATTTAATTAACAAGTTTAGTTACTTCAGTAAGTAGCACTTTTTTTTTTTTGAGCAGGGTCTGCAGTTTTTGCTGCAACCCAGGTAATCAGAGTATGGATTCTACTTTTTTCCTTTTTTCATCCACGTAAAGTAGAAGCAAACTTACTGGGTGTGTCTCTAAGACTCTTAGCTGAGTATGGTAGTGGTAGACGCCTGTAATATGCACAACCTTGGAGGCTGAGGCAGGACGATTGTAAAGTTTAGCCAAGCTTTGAGCAATTTAGCAAGGTCCTGTGTGTGTCAAAAAATTTTTAAGTGCTTGAGAGCATAACTCAGTGCAGGGGTCCTGAATTCAATCTCCAGCACCGCGAAAAACGAAACAAAATGAAGACAAACAAAGGAAAGTAATAAAAAAAAAAATTACCAAAAAGTAAATGCAGTACGGAAAGTCACAGAGCCCAGTCTTGAGTCTCAGTGTTGGAAAATCCGGAAGTGACTGTAGATCCCAGCTCAGTTTACCGGAAGCTGAGGGGTTTCTAGCGTCTTTCCCGCATTGCTCTTTGGGAAGAAAGGTCGGTAGGAAATGCGCCGGGTGTAGGGTTAGCGCTGTAGCGGGCTACGTGAGTGCGATCCGCGCGTCGGGAGAGGGGATCCGGTAACTGCAGGGTCCCCTGCGCGCGCGGAGACGGTAACCGCTGCGTTCTCCTCTGTGTCCCCAGTGACTGACCAGGCCTTCGTGACCTTGGCCGCCAATGACCTCTACTGCCAGGGCGCCCTGGTTCTGGGCCAGTCCTTGAGGAACCACGGGACCGCGAGGAAGCTGGTGGTGCTGATCACGCCGCAGGTGTCCGGCGCGCTCAGGTAAGAGGCGGAGACGGGTGCCACCCGCGCCCAGGGGCCTCCTGGGGCGGAGCACGAGTGAGCGGTGCCCCGAGTGTCCGCGCGGT